GCTCTTACTACTACTACGACTACTACTACTACTACCACCACTACTACTCTTACTACTACTCTTACTACTACTACTACTACTACTACTACTACTACTACTACTACTACTACTACGACTACTACTACTATTACTTCTACGAGTACTTCTACTACTATTACTACTACCACTACCACTACTACTACTACTACTACTACTACTACTACTACTACTACTACTACTACTACTACTACTACTACTACTACTCTCTACTACTACTACTACTAATACTACTACTACTACTGCAACCACTACTACTACTACTACCACTACTACTGCTACTACTACTACTACTACTACTGCTACTGCCTCTGCTACTGCTACTGCTACTGCTACTGCTACTACAACTACTACTACTGCTACTACTACTACTACTACGACAATTGCTACTACTACTAGCTTTGGTACTAGTACCAATACTAGTACTACTAATATTACTACTACTACTACTGCTACTACTACTCCTTCGACTAGCAACAGCTACTACTACTACTACTACTACTACTACTACTACTATCACGACTATTACTACTACTAGTAGTAGTAGTAGTACTACTACTACTACTTCTACTACGGGTGCTAGTACGACTACTGCCACTACTACTACTACTACTACTACTACTACTATTACTACTACTACTGCGAGGAGTACTAGTATGACTACTGCCACTACTACCACTACTACTGCTACTACTGCTACTGCTACTGCTGCTGCTGCTGGTACTAGTACTACTACTACTACTCGAACTGGTACTACGACGCCACACCAGCACTACTGCCAGTAGTGCTACAGCGGGCTATACTTGACCATTATTTCCATTACTACCATTCCTACTACTAGTACTGGTAGTAGTAGTAGTAGTAGTAGTAGTAGTAGTAGTCGTAGTAGTAGTAGTAGTAGTAGTAGTAGTAGTAGTAGTAGTAGTAGTAGTAGTAGTAGTAGTAGTAGTAGTAGTAGTAGTAGTAGTATTAGTAGTGGTACTACTACTACCACTAGGACTAGAACTACCAGTACGACGACCACTACAACAACAACTACTACCACTACCACTACTACTACTACTGCTGCTACTACTACTACTACTACTGCTACTACTACTACTACTACTACTACTACTACCACTACGACTACGATTCTTATTTTTATTACAATAGCAGCACCAACAACAACAACAATAACAACAACAACAACAACAATCATTTTACCCGAACGCGTGGTGTTCTCCCCAGTGCCAGGGTTTTCATACGACACCAGGCAATACCCCCACTTCGTGGGGGGGCATTACAAGCTCTACCAAATATCCAAACGACTCTTCGCGACCACCCAAACCCAGCTTCCCGCCCTATGACGTTGGGACACTTCACTTCGTGGCGTGCGGACGACCGTGGCTACTACACTGGCGTGGGGTACACACCCACAGAACTTGGTCACTTATTCGGGGCGCGCATGTGCCCAGCATGGTGCAATTGTGCCATACAATACATAATACAGAGAGACGAATGTGTCCCGCATGGTATTATTTGACAGGGATGATGGCCCTGGCAGGTGCGCAACCGTTGTCGCAGAAGTTCGAAAAAGTTGCTCGCAAAAGCCCGTTTGACAGAAATGTTTAAAAAGTGTTGGTTTTCCTACGAATCCGCAAGAGCGCGCGGGATGAGATTTTGACATTTTTTTGTTGAAAAACCATTGGTTTTTTGATGTTTTTATGTTAAAATCGCTCCGAACACTAAGCTTTTGGAAGGATTTCGTCTTGCGCGCGCGAATGTCCACTTTACCTTGTTTTTTGCAAGGGATTCTTGAAATTTGATTATATTAGAACAAGAAATGTCATTTTATAGTGTTTTTTGCAAGGGAAAACGGATTACAACAAAACAACCGGATCTTGATCAACTCGAATTACCTGAGGCTTCCTCACGAAAATGATGAAAACGTGGCTGCGGCCTAGGCGCGGCGGGGGGGGCGCGCACCAGGGGGCCCAACAATAATTATTCTTTAGAATTAATAATGTTCAACAACAACAACACCTACTACTACTACTACTACTACTACTACTACTACTACTACTACTACTACTACTACTACTACTACTATTGCCACCACGGCCATTCTTATTCGTATTATTATGTTTTTTTTATCGCTATGGCTACCAGTGTTCACGCCCCCTCCAACGGGCGAGCTTTTTCTCTTATCCCCGGGGTTTATTATCGTCGGGAAATCCCCGAGATGAGCTCACCAACGCGAGGACTTGAAACCTTCCTGCATTAATTGTTTTTCTTAAGAGCAATGTGGAGGGCCTTTTTCCCAACCATCCTGTGGTGTTGGGTCCTCGTTTTGAAGAGACGTCGCCCTGCGTTTCTCCTCCTCCTCCTCCTCCTCTCCTCTCCTCCTCCCCCTCCTCCCCCCTCCTCCCTGCGTTTCACCCACCCAGTACAGCGTTTCGTGGCCCCATAGGGAGCTCCACCGAAGGCCCCAGGGGCTGCGTTCGCATGGTGGCCCCGCCCCATTGTGGCGCACCCCTCACAAGGATCGTGGCCCCATAGGGAGCTCCACCGAAGGCTCCAGTGGCAGCGTTCGCATGGCGGCCCCGGGCCATTTCGGCACACCCCTCGCGAGGATCGTGGCCCCATAGGGAGCTCCACCGAAGGCCCCAGTGGCAGCGTTCGCATGGCGGCCCTGGGCCATTTCGGCACACCCGTCACGAGGATCGTGGCCCCATAAGGGAGCTCCACCGAAGGCTCCAGTGGCAGCGTTCGCATGGCGGCCCTGGGCAATTTCGGCACACCCCTCACGAGGATCGTGAGCATGTCGGGCTCCGGCGTGAAGCCGTGGCGCACATAGGGAGCGCGGGCGAAGATGGTATTCACAACTGCTGTATCCACCATTGCGTATGGTTGAGTCCTTCGCCAGGCCAATTTTTCTCAAAGTTTTGTATATCTGTGCATCAGTACACCATACATCCGCACACAACTACTATTAGAACAACAACGACTCCTACGACAATTCCTATTATTATCATTATTATTATTTTGTTTTCTTCAACTACTACTCCTACCACTATTACTCATACTTTTATTATTACTATTATAGCTATTACTACTACTACTACTATTAGTTATTCTTCCTCTTGTACTACTGCTACTACTACTACTACTACTACTACTATTACTACTACTACAGCTACTCCTACTACGACTACGACTACGACTACAACTACTACTACTACTACTACTACTTCTTCTACTATTACGACGACTACTAGTACTACTACTACTATTACTGCTGCTGCTACTACTACTACTACTACTACTACTACTACTACTACTACTACTACCCCCACTACTGCTACTACTACTGTTTCTACTACTTCTCCTACTACTACTACTACTACTACTACGACTACTATTACGACTACTACTATCACTACTACTACTACTACTACTATTACTACTACTACTACTACTACTACTACTACTACTACTACTACTACTAGTACTAGTACTACTACTAATTACCACGACTACTACTACTACTACTACTACTTACTACTACTACTACTACTACTACTAGTAGTACTACTACTACTACTACTACTACTACTACGACTACTACGACGACTACTACTACTACTACTTTTACTACGACAACGACTACTACGACTACTACTACTACTACGACTACTACTACGACGACGACTACTACTACTACTATCACTACTACTACTACTACTACTACTACTACCACTACTACTACTAAGAGCTACTCCTATTATTACTACTATTTCTAAACTTATTAGTTCTACTAGTACACTCCGTGCGCAACATCCGTACATGCGAGTTGCTGGGGGAACTGTTTCTTTTTCGTTTGACCCTGCAATGTCTGATCCCTGTGGTGTGATTCTCGGGTGCTAGCGGTTATTCTATGCTTGTTTGGCTTTAGACTGCGTGCTGAGTCTTACAGTCTTTGATCAGCGTGCTAGATGGAGTTTTGTACCACGTAGGTCGTGCAGTGGAAGTGCTGACCGAGGATAGTGGCACCAGTGCTGATAGCATACCCTCCGAAAGAATCAATGAACCACCTTAGCATGCACTCGTAACCCCCTACTCTGAGATCCGACGTTGAAGAAATCAAACACCGTCAAAAATCACGATCGGAGCCCCGGGCCCTGTCTTTTTGCGCCTTTTCTCGAGCCAGATCGACCTGTGAGGGTCCCGGGGCTCCCGGTGTGAACAAAATGCGACGCCCGGGTCTGGGGCTATCCCCTCAGCTTGGGCCATGCGTAATGGAGGGGCGAGAACTAGGGATGGGGGGGCAGCGAGGGCTGCAGAGAAGGAGCTCTTTAGGGCCCCTCAAGGGGCCCCTTTAGGGGCCAAGGGGGGGCGTTTAGGGCCCGAGAAGTGCACCTTTCTCCCCACCCTTCATTCAGCGACGCCCAAGTATCAGGTTGACCCAAAGGGGGTCCAGCGAAAAGAGGGAGGTGCAATCGATTCGTGGGGTTGCAGCAGATTTGGGACGTGCACTGCAATCCCGTGCGCACATGTATTGTTGGATTTTCGCGTCCAATGCATTAGTTGCACTACAATGTAATAACATTTTCCGGCGCAGTGCATTTTTCCCCCAAATATATTGCACCACCCCCTTTTCAGCTGGACCGCCCTTTGGGTCAACCGAAGTCCTCGGACTACCAGAGACTACGCAGGAGACGAGGACTCGGTAGTGTCCGGGGCGGAGGAGGAGGAGGAGGAGGAGGAGGAGGGTGAGGGAGGAGAGGAGGAGAGGAGGAGGAGGAGGAGAAGAAAAGGAGGAGAGGAGGAGGAGGAGGAGGAAAAAGGAGGAGGAGAGGAGGAGGAGGAGGAGGAGGAGGATGAGGAGGAGGAGAGCAGGAGGAGGAGGAGGAGGAGGAGGAGGAGGAGGAGGAGGAGGAGGAGGAGGAGGAGGAGCGACCCCCGCGGTCCTCCCAGCCCAGGTCCTGTCCGCCGTGAACCCGTCCGGGGCGCACGCGAACGCCGGGGAGGCGGGCCACGGCATGCGGCGCGGGGACCTCGCGGGGGCGTGGCGGCTCGCCATCCGCCTGCGCGACGAGGGCCTGCTGCTGGGCCCGGTGGGCCAGGCGTCGGCCGGAAAGCAGACGACACCACCCCACCAGGCGACAAAACAAAAGGTCCCCTTCCTCCCTCCCTCCCTCCCCTTCCTCCCCTTCCCTTCCTCCCCTTCCTCCCCTTCCTTCCCTCCCTCCCGCCCCTTCCTCCCCCTCCCCTCTCCTTCTTCCCCTTCCTTCCCTCCTTCCTTCCTCCCGTCGTCCCTCCTCCCTCCCCCTCCTCCCTCCCCTTCCTCCCCCTTCCCTTCCTCCCCTTCCTCCCCTCCCTCTCCCCCTCCTCCCCTTCCCTTCCACCCCTCCCTCCCCATCCTGGCCCATCCTCCCCTCGCTCCCCTTCCTCCATCCCCACGGGGTGAGTACCCTCCTCTCTCTCGCTCCTCCCTCGCGGCCGCTTTCGCCAGCCCTTCCCTCCCCCTGCCGCCAGCTCGCGTGCGCTCTCCGTTACCCGGATTGCCTCCCGAGCGCGCCTGCGGGCTGCCTCCTCCGCCGCGTGCGACGTGCAGACATGCTGCGCTGCGGCCTACGGGGGCCTCAGCGTATACCACGCGACAGCCCAAGCCAGCATGCATGGCATACGACATGTTCAGGCCCAGGGGGCGTAGGTGGGATAGTGTCGTTTCTTTTTCCTGGTTCAAGGAGCAGGAGATCGATGGCTACCCCCTCGCGTGCACCGACGAGCGGATGTGGTGCTCAGAGGAGGAAGATCCTCAGACCCTGGCGTCGTTTCGTTTCGCGCCAGGCGATTTCGCCCGGCTTCGGGCCCCAGGACCCTCGCAGATCGCTGCGGCTTGAAGAGCGCCGCAAAAAAACAACAACAGGTTTTGGGCTCTGGTCGTGATTTCTTATAGACGTGCTCGCGTCGTGAAGCAAAACAAATCACGACGGGAGGTTTTTGACCCTTATCGGTCTCTGAGGGCCTTCTCGGGGCCCCGGGACAGTCAGAAAACGATTCAGGATACCTGCATGGGGAAAGAGTCTGAACTTCTGGGGACCTTGGGAACATCCATCCATCGGATTTCTGGAAGGAGGAGGAGGAGAAGGAGGTGCAGAAGGAGGAGGAGGAGGAGGAAGAGGAGGAGAGGGGGAGGAGGAGGAGGAGGAGGAGGAGGAGAGTATGAGAGGAGGAGGAGGAGAGGAGGATGAGGAGAGGCGGAGGCGGATGCGGAGGAGGAGAGGAGAGGAGGAGGAGGAGGAGGAGGAGGAGAAGGAGAGGGAGGAGGAGGAGGAGGAGAGAGGGGGAGAGAGGAGGAAGGGAGATCTGGAAGAAGAAAGGGAGAGGGAGGAAGGAGAGGAGGGGAAGGGGGACCGATGAGGAAGGTGAGACAGGATGATGATCATCGACTGAGATGATGATGATGATGAAGAATGATGATGAATGATGATGATGGTGAATGAAAGATGGTGATGGTGAGGTATGGTGGTGATGAATGATGATATGATGCAGATGATATATGCTGATGATGATGAGTACGATTGATGATGGATGATGATGATGATGATGATGAGAAGAGAGTGTGAAGGAGAGGAGTGGCCAAGGAGGAGGAGGGTCGGACGTCTAGGAGGTCCAACGCCACGACCCTGGCCTCGCTTCCGCCTGTCTGGGCCTCCCAAGAGGCCCTCGTCGCCACGGCTGGATTCGCCTCGAAGTTCTGGTCAGAACGCGCCCTGGGAGAGGTCCAGGGCGTAGCGGTGTTGGACTACCCCCTTGTGATCAGATGATCTGACGTTGCGAACAATTTGCAGGCGTATGCCCTCCCTTAAATCGACCAGAGCCCTGGACCTCATCTTCCTGAGGCGTTTTTCGAGCTAGATCGATCTGTGAAGGTCCCGAGGCCCGAATCCTGGCTCGATGTGCCAAAAGGCACGCCTTGTTTCCTCAGGCCGGACGGGGTCAGAACGAGGAGAATTCCGTTCCAGAGCGTTCTGGAGCACCCGCATGGCCTTACGGAACGCTCTGAGAAGGCCACGGCGCCCGAGCCATCCTCCAGAGCCGCTTGATCTCGGAGGATCTCGATGTCTACATCCTTACCCGCCGATTCTGGCCTCGTCTTCTGTGGGTTTCCCCAGGTACCCAGACCTCTGGTACCATTTCGTCCCCTCGCCGCTTCAGGTCGGATGTTGCTAGAAGTGCCCCTGGCCCAAGGTGCCCCCAGCTTTTCGCTCCATTTTGGGCCCCCTGGGGCCCTCTGGGCCTTCGTGAGGGGTGCTCTGGAGGCCGTCTGGGCCACCCCGAGAAGCCTGGGGGCACCTTGGGCCAGGGGCACTTCTGGCAACACCCCAGCAGGGGCTGCACGGGGTGCTCCGGTTCCTCGTGCGGGAGAGCGGGGCAGACGTGCAGCTCCGCCGCAGGGTCCTGGGCGCCGACCTGCGGGAGCTGCTCGCCGGCCGCTGCGCCGACCCTGGCACTGGTCGAGCGGCCGCGGGGAAGGTCAGTCGAATGAAGGAGGAGAAGGAGGAGGAGGAGGAGGAGGAGGAGGCGAGGAGAGGAATGAGATGAGGCGGATTCTTGATGATTGATGATGGATTAGGAGAGGGCGGTGGCGGTAGTAGGCGGAGGAGTCGGCAGGCAGACGATGCTGTGATGCGTGATGCGTCCAAATCCAACATATAAACTTTTGGCGCTCCGCGTGGAGATCGTGGCGTCGCGCCTTTTTCGTGCCGGGCGACTTCGTCGTATTTCGGGCGCCAGGACCCGCGTAGATGGATCCGGCTCGAAAGGTGCAGCAGAATGATGTGGTCTGGGGCTCTGGTCGTGATTTTGGTGGGCCACCGCTGGTTTTCGGCGCCTGGGGGTTGCTTTCGGGTCCTGAGACCACCAGGAATCGATCCGTGGTGAAAAATTTGTCCGGATGGACCCCCAGAGGGGTCTGAGGATCCGTTTTGAGTTCATTTGCCTTCATCCCCCCTCTCTCGACCGATTTTGTTGGGGCCCATCTAGCCCAGACCCCACTGCCGCCGCCAAGGTAGTGGTGGTGCTGGCAGTGCCTGCCCCAGAGGCGCTGCTGATTCTGCAAGAGTCGAAGAACGAAGACGGCTCAAACATAAATTGTCGGAGGTCCTCGCGGATTTCTTGGATCGGCGCCGACCACCCCTTCCCTGGCGCGCTCCGCGCGCCAGGGGCGCCGTCAGGGGGGCCCAGCGGCGATCAAAGGAATCCGCGCAGACCTCCGAAAGCTTGTGTTTATGTCGTTCTAGTTCCCCTGAAGACGTCGCTCAAGACATCCACGACTTCGCCACGCTCGGGCGCGAGCTCGCCAGCATCGGCTACGATGGCCGCATGGCGGTTGCCTTCGGGCTCGACGCCAGTAGGCTGGAGACCCCCCCCCAGTGCGACCACCGCGAGCCAGGCGGGGGCGGCACCGTCGGCTTCGCCGAGTTCCTGAGGGCGACCGTCTTCAAGGTTGGAGCCGGCTGGGGGTCTGAGGTGGCCGGCACTGGTTCTGGCGACCAGGAAGGGGTGGCCAGGTGTGAGGCTTTTTTGTTTGTTTGTTTGTCTTGTTTTGCCTTGTCGGCTTCTGGGGGCCGTTTTCGGGCCCCAGGACCGGTAAAATCAGATCCTGGGTGAAACACTGCACCAGATGGACCCCTGGAGGGGTCTCGGGGGGGGGGGTGCGACTTTGAGCATTTTCTCCTGACCGACGTTCTAGGGGCTCATCGGCTGAGACCCTCTGGCCGCGTCGACGTCAAGGGCGGCAGGGAGGTCAACCTGGACCTCGAGCCCTGGGACCACGCCGAGAACCTCCTGCACATGCAGGGGGCCAGGACGCACGGCGTGGCCGCACTCTGTTCGAGCGTCCGCGCTGCTCTCTTGGGGCCGGTGCTGAGCCGCCCGCGCCAGCGTGCGGAGCGCGCCACGCGCGGCGCCGGAGGGCGTCGGGAGAGGGAGGGGCCCGGGCGCCGACCCCAGAGATCCGCGCGGGCACGCCAAGGCTTCTCTGCGGCGCTCCCGAGAGGGCCTCGCCCGCGAAGGTCGAGGGAGTTGGCATCGCTTCCGGGGGCGGAGGGCGGCGGAAGGGCGGCAGACGGCGGCGTAGGTCAAACAGCGGCGTCTCCGCCAGCGGAAGCTCGCGGAAGGCCGACGGCGGCCGACGTGCGAGAACGATTCGCCCCCCGAGGAAAGGCAAGGTTTGTCCCTATGCAAACAGTCTGCAAGGATTGTCAGATATCTGTTCTAAGAAACTGGTAGTTGGACAGTCGGATTCGGAGTCGGTCGAGCGACGTGGCTTCCCGTGGCCTTTCACTGCCTCCCGTGGCTTCCAGTATCCCTATCCCTGTCCCTATCCCTGTCCTTGTCTATATCCCTATCCATATCTCTAAGCGTCTGCTTCTATCCCCATCCCTATTTTTATCCCTATCCCTGTCCCTATCCCTATACGTTCTATCACCCTATCCCTATCCGTTTGTCTGCCTCTATCTCATCACTACCCCTATCCCTGTTATTCTTATCTCTATCCTGTATCCTATACCCCTATCCTTGTCCCCGTCCTTATTCGCATCCCTATCCTTCTTACCCCATTTCTACATCCCTAGTCGTATCTCCCATCCCTATCCCAACCTCTATCCCTATCCCTACCGTTATCCTTGTCCTTCTCTTTGTCCCTATCCCCATCGCTGTCCCTATCCTATCCTCATCACAGCATCCTTATTCCTATATCCCTGGCCTTACATCCCATTCCGATCCCCATCCCATATCCCTATCCCGATCCCCCCAGCGTGGCCCCCATCGTGGCCCCCCCCCATTGTGGCTCCCCAGCGTGGCCCCCATCGCGACTGCGTAAAGCCGCTCAAGGTCTTCTGCCGCAAGGCTGCCGCTTCGTTCCAGGTTTCCAGAGGCGGCCGTCTGAACCCGAGATCCGATGTTGGAAACAAATTGCAACATCGCCAACAGTTACGACAGGAGATCCCGTCCCCATCTTTCTGCTCCATTTTTCTAGCCGGATCGATCTGCGAGGGTCCTGGGACCTGAAATGAGGCGAAAGTGCCCGGTGTGAAGAGGTTGCAACGGACAGATCTGAGGGGAGCGTGCTGTTTTCCGGCCCCCTGGGCGTGGCGGTCCTCCACGAGGCCCCTGGCGTCGCGCCGGGCGTGCTGGCCCTGGCCTTCCACTCCAAGCCCGGCGGCGCGCAAGGGTGGCCCGTCGCTGGGGTGGTGGCTTCCGGTGCGCAGCTTTCCAGGGCCACGGGTTGGAGGAGGAGGAGGAGGAGGAGGAGGAGGAGGAGGAGGAGGAGGAGGATGAGGAGGGGGACGAGGAGGACGGGCAGGAGGACGAGGAGGATGAGGAGGAGGAGGACGAGGAGGACGGTCAGGAGGAGGAGGAGGAGGGTACAGACTTAGGCACTCGAGTATGACTCTGCTCGTTCATCGATCTCCGCGCTCTCGAGGTGCAGATGTGCTCTGCTCGTCGCGTGCTCTGGTGCCAGCGCCCCAGTGCTCTGGCTGCCTTAAGGCTCGAGATCAGGCGCGCCACGCCCCAAGAAGGCAGGCTACTGCTGTCGCATCGCACGCAACGATCGGCAAGCCGCGCAACAAGTCCTGAGATCCGACGCATGCAAACGATGCAGCATCGCAACACACATCACGCCAGGAGCCCCAGGCCCCATCGTTCTGCGCCATTTTTCGAGCGGGGTCGATTTGTGAGGTCCCCTGGGCCCGAAACAAAGGCATGGACGAATTTGACGCCAGGATCTTCGGAGGTCCGCGCGGATTTCTTGGATCGGCGACGGGCCGTTGTTCCAGCGCGCGGAGAGCGCCAGGGGCGGCGTTGGAGGCGCCGCCAATGGGTCCAGTCCAGATGCAAGACATCTGCGCAGAGCTCCGAAATTTCATGCTTATGCAGTTTGACGTTCGTCTAAATCGTGCCCAGGATCGCTCTTGCGTGTACCAGATGACCACAAACTTCTTCGGTTCTGGATCAGCGGGCGTTTGCCTGCGTCGCTAAGGCCACCTCAAAGACCTACACCGCTGACATAGTTTAGAACAAATCACGCCAGGTGAGCTTTCACCAGGGATCTCAGGGAAGGTCGCTAGGATGACCGCGGGGGTTGCTAAGGGAATAGGTGGGGTGCAAGCGGATGCAAAGGTGGCTATATCTGGCTCAACATAGCTTATAAGTGGGTTGTAAACGCCCCAAGTTGCTTAGCGGGGTTGACGATCTGGGCTCAGCGGGTTCCGCCCACTCAGCGGGATTATCCAACCTCGCCGGGCCACATGGGGCACCTGTAGCCCACTCAGAAGCCAGGCTGGGCCAGCTATAACCATCTTGGCATCCTCTAACCCCCCTGGTCCCCTTGGCAACCCCCACTGTTATCCCAGCAGGATCTCAGGGAAGTCGGCCACGCTCTACAGATGTAAGGCCGGCGCCTTTTCAGGAGCAGCCTCCTTTAAAGAAGCTTTCCCCCCTTCCCCTACTGGGATCGACGCGGCGGTTGTTAAGTGGATATGGAGGTTATGAGATGATGGCAAGGTCGTGATATCTGGCCCAACCTGGCTTATACATGGGTTGCACATGCCCAAAAGGACTTGGGGGATTAGCTATCTGGGCTACTGGGCTTCGCCCACGTAGCGAAGTTACAAACCCCCCCTAAGTCACGATGGGCATGTGGAACCCACTTACCAGCCAGGTTGGGCCGTATATGACCATCGTGACATCCGCTCATAACCTCCTTCATCCCCTCAGCCCCCCCCCCCGCGCCGATCCCAGCACAGTCAACCCGCATAGCAAGGACGGGCAACCTTGCCAAGGGTACCCTTGCATCCTTGCCTCCTCGGTCCATCCCTCGCCACTTCTGTTGGTCGCGCCCCGCTCGAAACGCCTCGACTTGGCCCTCCAAGGCCCTCGGCATGCTTCTCGCGCATCCCGATGAGATGCGTCGACTGTGCCCCCCCTCTGCGCGCGGCCGCCGCCCACTCCTGCTCAGAGCCGCTCCTGCGTGCAGCCGGCAAGCCTCGGGGGCCGGCGGCGGCGGCGGGCCCCGCGCCAGGCGCGGCGGAGGCGCTTCCAGCGGCCGAGGCCGCCGACGGCGAGGAGCAGGAGGAGCTGCGGCGGCGGTTCCGGGCGCAGGCGGCGGGGGTAACGTTTCTCGAAGAAGAAAAAACTCAGGAGAGGAAAAAACACACAGACACAATTAATCCTCGATTCCCCAGAAAATATAAGAAAGTATGGGAAATGGGGGGGAAGACAGAAACCCAGAAAACATGGGAAACTATGGGGAATACTTTTATTTGTGTGTATTTATTTGTGTGTCCTGGGGCCCCTTCACAAACGACACACGCACACACACACACACACATGAACTTGGGCGCTCCTCGCGGGTGTTTGGGCTCCGCGCTGGGCACTCCCCCGGTGGCGCCTCCGGCCCCGCCTGGCGCCTCTGGCCCCGCCTGGCGCGCTCCAGGATCCAGGAGATCCGCGGGAAGGCGCCAAGGATTTATGTTTATGCTGTTTTTTCTCCTTCTAGTTTCGGGGCTGCTAGAATCTACACCCTAGGCGATGCTTAAGAAAACCTAAGTTTTCGTGCAGAGTCTCGATTAGTCTTAACGGTTCAATGTAAATCCTAAGATTTTAATAGAAATGTTGGGTTTTATTCCATTTCTGAGATTATGAATTTCTGAACCCATGGTTTCTTAAGCATTCCGCAGGGTGTAGGCCTCCTAGATGGGGTCGGAGCAGGTGGGGTCGGAGGATCGCGCCGCATCGTGGAGGCATCGCCGATGCGGCTCGATGTGCAGCCCGATTTGCGGCACGCCGACGTCGCCGATGCACCGCCGACGTCGACGATGCATCGCCGATGCGTTTATCGGCGATGTGGCGCGACCCTACGACCCCATCTATGCCGACCTCATCTGGGAGGCTCCTATTGTAGTGCTCCTGGCCCAAGGCCCCCGCCGGTATTTCCGAGGAGGCCACCACGACCTCCAGAGCACCCCTCGCGAGGCCCAGGCGGCCTCAGGGCCTCCAGCATGGGGCGAAGAGCTGGGGGCACCTTCGGCCATGGGCACTCCCAGCGGCACCTCAACGTCGGGGGGGGGATGGGTTTTGTTCGGTTCCGGCGGGGGTGCATCGAGGCTCGGGTTGCGCGGCTCGAGCTCTGCAAGGGGGGGGGTCGGTTCTCCCAGTCTCGGGGTTGGTTCTCCCAGTCTCGGGACGCCCTCTAGCAGCCGCGCCTCGCCGAGAGCGCTCCCCGGATCGTTTCGATCGGCCGCCGGGCAACAGAGTTACGACCCGAAAGCCAGGGGGCAACGTCAGGGGGGATGGGCTCAGGGGGG